TTTTTGTCTAACAATAGCTGAATGAGCACGATCTGTCAATTGTAGTATTAATGTAGGCAATTTTTTTTTGAGTTCACGTAATCCTCGAATTAGAGTTTGCTAAACGGAAAAGTAAGAGACTTTTTAAATGAAATTGTCCTATGCCGTTGTCGTATAATAGACTTACTGTCGTCGATCCACCAGCTGCTGCGCTGTTTACTATTTCTTTGTCGTTTCTTTCGTATTATACGAAAGATTAAGATATTATCTTGGCTTTGCTTCCATCTTCGCTTGTTTTTCGTTCCTGTTTTAGAAGACGTAAAAGAAAGAAACTAGTTGTCTCAGAGTTTACTGACTGGCACTTACATCACTCTGCTGCTTCTTTTTTTCTTTAGCTATAGTCAGATGCAAGTCCGCTGACGATGCACGTTGCATTTCCTTAAATATAAAAGTTATATAGACACTAAAATCGAATCTTTTCGGAAAATAATTTATGAATTTCTTCAGTATGGTCTCACATTATTTTCAGCCATTTTCGCCAGTAATATATCTGAAATAAAAGTATGAGTAGAATGTGCATATTCTTTAAGCGCACTACATCTAATATGTGAACATTGTGATCACGATAATAGAAGAAGAAAATCCTGTAAATAGGTAGATGGATCTATAATTACAACAACAAACATTTATTAAGGTCTGACAAATTGTATAATTGGTAAAATAACGTTTTGAAAGAGTGAGGAAATGCTGCTGATAATATCTGGTAATTTGTCAGTAATCCATCTTACAATTCGCGCTAAAGCATCAGCTAGTCCTGTGAATAATCTAACAAATGTCGTTTTCATATTATTCAAAGTTGGAGTGGCTTCAGTGAGAAATCTTTCATAATCAACCTTTTTGTTGTCATAGTCCTCTTCGCCTGGATCTGGACAATGTGAGATAACAGCGCATTCAACGTTATCCAACTGTTGGTTAATACTGCTACGAAACGATTCGATTCGATCTTTTAATACTTGTTCAGTTGTGCTGTGTCAGCGTCTGTTGCATGATCTTTGACGTACTGCTGAATATCTAAGGTACGTTTTTGTGCCTCTTTAGTGATAGTTTCTAATTGTGTATGAAGAGTTTCTACATGCATTTGAAATTGAGTGTTCAAAACTTCTGTTCCTAAAGTAGATAAGTTTGAGATACAGTTTTCTAAACATACTGATGCTTGCAAATTGTGATGCTAAAAAATAATTTTACGTAGTCGTCAAAAAATATTCCTGCACTAATTCACCTGTAGAAGTGGAGATCAACCTTTTCATTCCATCGAAAAATTAATTCACCTACCTAGTTCAAACCTAAACCAACGATTCTTTTTTTCGCTCATGCTATAATAAAGCTAGTATAAACGCAAATGTCACTTTCTCACCTCAGTTACGTTACTATTGTGGTGTTTTTCTTAATACAATTTATTCTTTTAATTTAATATGAAAAACAAACAACATTTTCATACACTTTTCTACATGTTGGTTTTTTCCTTTTCGTTTTCCTTTTTTTAAATATTTTGCGGAGCTCTTTATTGTTAGAAACTGGGGGAAAGTCAGTTTCCATTGTGCCTAATGGCAGGCGACAACAGTTTCTCCACCAAGTCCTGTCGAAGAAAACATAGTGCAGAATGCCACCACTTCCTTCCTCTTCTCTCATACTATTAATTTCTCTCTCTCTCTCTTTCGTAATCAAATGACGACCGAAAGTAAAACGAAAAGGAAAAAACCAACATGTAGAAAAGTGTATGAAAATGTTGTTAAGTACAGTTAAAGTTAGAAGTAGAATAATAAAAATTCTGCGTCTACACAAATAATGTCCATACTATGTCAATCTTCTACAGAAAAATACGATGAAAAAGAATAAAATTTCATGTTAATTTCGATCAGTATTTGACGCTTTTTTCAAGTCGAATAAATCTCATCCAGATCTACGTCCACATGGATAAGTTCTACGTTGCCTCGAGTTATAATAGAGAAGTAACTTGGACAACATGAAACGCTGAAAATCACGTTTTTATCTAATCAGGTCCGTGCCCATATCTTTTCAGTTCAAAAATAAATTTTTGGTTAATTCAATAATTGATTTAGACAGAGACAGTTCCTTCATATAGGCCTGGACTATTTTGACGAAAAACAATCATTTGCAGCAAGTATGCTATCGTGATTATTAATGCCATCTAGTTGATATTTCGACCTTTAACCTAAGAAATATCAACTAAGTAAAATGAAGTTTAAAACAGCTGCAATTATAATCAAAGTTTTGATAAGTCAGTCGTTGCCCTCAAACCCTATAAAAAAATTGTTTGTGGGCTTTCGGATAGCTTCTGTAGCAAACATCAGAATCCTTTAGCCAAATTGTCTCGCTCTGCTTCGACTTAACTTCTCTGAACGTCTCTAAACTTCTCTGCTTCACTTTGCCTTAACCTTGCTTACCGCGCCTTACCTTACCAGACCATGTCTTGACTTCTCTCAACGTCTCTACCTTACCTTACCAAACCTTAGCTTATCTTACCTTATCTTACCATACCATGACTTAACTTCTCTCAACATCTCTCAACTTCTCTACCTTACCTTACCTTCCCAGACCAACTCTTGACTTCTCTGTATTGAAAAATATAGTTAATGATTATACTTTTCGATCTACTTTATCGAAAAAATCAATAAATGGTTTTGAATCAATGTTGAATTTAATTGATTATCTATCATTTGAATCGTTAAATAATCGTGGAGATGATTTCTATAATCAAAAACAAAATATTACAATACAAGTTATTACATATTATTCTTATACACCAGTAACACCATTATTTCACTTATTCAATCAACGTATCAAAACGTATGCTAATAAACTAAAACTGAACGTTCTATCTCAACACACTCAATCTACAGGTATAAAAATCGTTAAAGGTACCGTTCTCCCCTTCTTTGAGTTTCTAATGAATGGCTTATTATGGCAGTGTCAGAACGACTGCCCGTAGGGAAATTTTGTCGAAATTTCACGATGTTGGGATCGTATAGTATCAATATCAAATGCAGGATCACGTGTGAACTTCCTATAATTCCACACGCGTTTACAAGTAAAAACTTGTATTCTTTTCACACAGCTTTTTACGACTTTCACTAGTGACCAATATGGATGTTAATTTAGTATAATTTTATAAAAGAAATATAAATGAGTGTTACCTTAACCTTTAAAAAATAAAGGTAAAATAAAGAAATAAAGATTTTCTTTTTACGGTCTCAAGTGAATTTAAAAATAAATATACAAAAAGTTTATACATGTTTATCTTATATAAGCTACTTGTTTTGGATCATTTAAAGTAAAAAAACTTCAGTATGAACTATTTCTCCGGTGTTAGATCCCCAGTGGAAATGGACTGCATATTTATGCGTTTTGTGCCAATATGCGTTTCTTTTTTCAAAATATTGAGAGAAATATTCGTCATATTTCGTATTTATAAAAATTATCAAACTGTTGAATAATAAGAAACGAAATCACTGTTGAATTTTGACGAAAATAGAAAGATTGACTTCTTTTCGAACATATTACACGTTGGAAATTTCTTCTGACTGTTTGTCATGTACTGTTTTCATGCGTCATAAATCAGTCGAATGTATGAGCCTGTAGATGTTAATCTGTGTTAAATATGTGTTTCTTTTTTCAAAATATTGAGAGAAATTTTCTATCCTTATCTGCCCTCCGAGGGATAGAAGCGGATTCATCCACTTATTTTCCTTGGTTTTCGAGCGAGTTTTCTAGGAGTCTCGGAAAACAAGGTCTTCAAATAATATTTTTTTTCGGGATATTTGCTGAACCTTTTTCTGAATAGTTAGGCTTGTTTAATCAAAATAAGACATCACACAACCCTGTACGATGTTGCATCAAACAGTTACAAGCATTTTCCCAGAAGCCCTAGAGTAGATCAACCATTGCACAATGTTTTCTCCCAAATTCTCTTTCTACGATTACAGCGTTTCGTACGTCCAAGATATCTCAGTCATTTTTCAAGTTAGAGGTTTCGGATTGGTTTCAAAAAATAGAGAAATGTTTTTTCTATGTTGTAACGCTGTTAGATTTTTCAATTTAACTTTAGTTCAGGAGATATTTAAAAAGTTTTTGAAAAGTTAGATAGATTTTATTGACTTTCGGAAATCTTTTAAATTTCTTCTGAACTAAAGTTAAATCGAAAAATCCAACGACGTCACGACATAGAAAAAACATTTCTCTATTTCTTGAAATTAACCCGACATTTTTAGCTCGAAAAATGACGGTGGAATCTTGGAAGTACAAAACCATACTTTTTCATCACTAATTTAAGGATAACAATAGGAAAATAAGTGATACAAGGTTTAACTTACTAGAATCACTAAGTTACCTCAAGATACACATTGTCTGAAATTTTCATTAAGACGGAATGTACCTGGATGAAAATAGGTTTTTGAGTGGGGACGGGGAAGGTCTTAAACCAAAAGGAAAGTGGCACCTTTTCTTTTTCTTGGAAGAAAAAAGATGCCACTTTCCTTTTTCTTAGGAAAGAAAATATATGGATTATATCCCTACTCTTTACTTTTAAAAATAAAAGATACTACTTTACCGTAACTATGAAAATAAACGATAAAGTGCGGTGCCTACGATAAACTTAACACAATGTTATTATCATCATCTATTTGAAACATAACTTGTCAGCAAATAAGAGGAACCTAGATAAAATTCTTTTAAAAAATTTCTCTTTTCATAGAGAGCATCATCTGCTATACTATTCTTCCTGTATTTTTTCCAGTCCTTCCATGAGAAATGAAAAAGGAAAAATCAATGACGCTAATGCATAAGAAAGTGTTTTTAGCGACTCCTTTTCTCTTTTTTTCCATTTGTTTGGAAAACAAAAATAGTAAGTTTAATACTGTCGACTTGATCACCACTAAAAAGAATAAAAAAGTAAAGAAAGAGAAACTTTGCCTCTTTTGTTATTCTATGTTTTAAATCAGTCATTGAGTAAGAACATTAACTAAGAAGGTCCCTGTGAGTAGAATAACATACTGTACATTGACGTATTTATAAAGTATTTATTTTTATGAGCCTTTTATTTGATAAAAAAACCACAATCCACAGTTCAGTTAAGATTCAGACACAGTAATAGTATAAGCACCGATAAAATTTATTTTATTCGATTTCATTTAAAAAGAGAAAGTAATAAAAAGATTTTGCTGCAAATTTCTTAAAATAGAGTGAGAAAGACCAGAAACCCTCGATTTCAGAATCGAATAGGTTATCATCTTCTCTTATTCCCGTTGGTGATCGTTTCTTTTCTTTGTCTTCTTTGAATTATAGCGATGCCATCAGATACATCGCTAAATAAAGACAATGAGAACATGTCTACAAAAAACTCTTCCCAGCAACATCCAGTATCTGATCGTGAACGAGTTAATCTAGAATCCCATCAGCTAATATGGTTGGACAAAAGTATCAACAGTAATCAAAGTGACAGTACAGTTACAGTTGAACGTCTACGAAATGTTGTTGATTATACAAAACTATATTATAATCCTGAAGAATGTTTGCAACACATTGAGCAGACAAAAGATACCGCAACATTTTTAATTGGGTCGGATGAATTAGTACGGATATTTATTCCAAAAATTCATGATCTTGAAAATATTCAGGCGATTTATATTTATTGTTCACAGAACGAATATTGTCAACAGTGGATATCAAATTATTCAAAAGTAAGTCCATTTCAAGGATTTTCTTCACCAACGTTGAGTGCCTTTTTCTGACTTGACAAAGAGAGATAGCATGAGCCTATTGATTATGAATCTACCAACTCAAAACATGAAAACATTTTAACGTATATTATTGATGATTTCATTCGGTTCAACGTATTAACCTGATTAGTTATAGAATTTACACGAAGAGCCCTAAATTAATTTCTTCTTATTTCTGTAGCTTTAGTGAACATTTAGGGCTTTTGTTGTAAATTCTATAAGAAAGTCATACTTTGCAAAGAAAGGTCATGTGGAGTTGGGAGAGGTCTCATTTTAATCAGAAATGTGCGGGCTACAATCATGCCTCATTAAGAACGGTTCGGGTTATTTTTTGGGGTTTCTGAAAAACTCGTTTTCTAGAAAACCAGGTCTTCGAAGGGCTATGCGGAAGCCGCATGGTCGTATTCGTAATCAGCATGGTCGATAACCTATAACCCACTAGATTCCGAGCAAAAAGCGTTTAATCACTTCGTGGGGTTCCCTCGTTAATAATAGATTGATGCACATTTTAGTATCAGTAAATAATTGGTTTTTTTTATTATGATGGTGTAGTATTTTTTGATGAGTTTATATATGATTTTATTGCTTATGAAATGGTCTATCCAATGACATATAGTATAAAATGATCTACTTCTTTAAAAGCGATAAATACGCTAAAAACGACGCTAGACAAAAAAAGCATATTTTTCATACATTGCCATTTTCACATGTATTTTATGGGGGCGCTTTTCTTTCGACATGTTGTCTAAGAAAAAATCTAAATCACTCACTACACACAGAATTTTATGGCGCATCTTTTGGCCCGAACGGATTTTGAATGCAACCTATTCGTATGTCTGATATCCCGTGCAAGGCTTAAAAAAATACTATTGGAGAAGCGAAAGGCCACTTAGTCGGTAAACGAATATTTTCTCAAAAACTATGCATCCAATCTTTATGAAAATTTTCGGATATATACAACTTTGAATGCTCTATAAAACCATATACAAATAAGGTTTAAATTCTGACTTTGAAAATTTTTTCTATAGTGAATACCCCTAGGGGGTCAATGTGAGCCACATGGATTGTGAAGGCTGCATCTCCGTCAAAACCCGACCGAACTCAGAAAAAATTGGAGAGTAGATGCAGTTTTAAATTCTCTACAAAATGGCCGAAAAAAAATTGGGGGTCGGGGGAGGTAAGCCCCCCGTTAATTAAGAAAAGCTTAGAATACAGATTACTGAATTTAAAGAGGTCTAAAGCCTCATAAACTTTTTATCTTGTTTGTTGTCGTGTCAGTTATGCATGCCGTTATGGTGCCCCATGAACAAAGACCTACTGTCAGGATAGTGAAATGACTGCTGAATATGCTGTTGCATATCAGCATAATTGGTGTACAGAAAAATCAGTAAATAAACAACAGTACCAAAAGAAAAGGATATAAGCTTAAGCAACGGGCAATTTACAAAGGCGAGGTTAGGGAGTCTAAAAAAAAGAAGTTAACGTCATTTGTAAACGCTTCTAAATGGGAACGGATGGAGAAATTTCACGAGAGATAGATAGGAACATATAAGCAATCCTATGAAATTCCTGTTCAAGAATTATCTTTTCCTACTAAAATCCTAAATAATTCCTGCTACATTATGACTCAGTCACAGCATCCTTGTTAGGATTCTAACAGAATCCTAGCAAATCCTACGACTTTCCGGTATACCTGATTTCTGTAGGATTCTGTAAGATTTTCCTAGGAAAAAGCCAGCTAAATTCTGGCAGGATCCTGGCCGGATTTCTCAAGGATCCTGTCAAGAAATGTATAGGTTTCTTACTAGGGGTTAAGGGTATTTCAGCCGCAATTGCTCTAAAATTTGTAAGAAATGGGTTGAAAAAGATTACATGTATCAGCTTTTTTTTATTAATATTATTGATTACATGAACAGATTTTATATTTCACGTTTTGGTTGTATTATGATGCTTCCATCTTGAACGATGACATTATCAGGTACTTCAATAAATACGGAGTTTCTCGGCTTTGAATCTACACTTGAGATAAGTGTCCTTTTCCACTGGTATCCTCGGCGAACAAGAGTGAACCGGGTGGAAATATTTGTGACTGAAGAAAGAGAATATCAGTTAGTGTGAAAGTAAAACTGCATGAATTTTCGGGAGCAACTTACTTTCCCATCACTAACCGTAATTTTTACACTCGCGTCCAGATTTATGCTAAACTGTCTTCTCGGTACATTATGGAAATCAAAATTGTAATCACCTGGAGTATATCGAAAAAAGATATTTTTAGCGCCAATTGCTTCTGAAATAAATCCAATTGCACCTTGATCTTTTAATGGTGTGGTAACTTCATCAAAATGTGACTCTCCTGTATCATCTGAATAAATTCGAGTGATTCTCACCGTTGCCATTGAGGAAGAAAATTGAACGTTAGTCTAAAAAGCACAACACTTTAACAATGATAACTATAAATTTGTTTCAGGCTCTCTATTCTTCGCCGCTTCTCGAGTAATTGGCTCAGTATAATATGAAATAATATTCTGGTCTGCAAATAACCCTCCATTCAAGTATTCCAGATTCTACTGCGCGAAGCGACAGTAAATGGCGACGAAGCGTTGCCATAGCTTAAAAATGGAGCGACCAAGCCAGCAGATCGGTCAGTCATACCATGCTGGCAAAGTCGAAAGGTACTCATCGTCAGGGTATTCAGTTCATTCCCGGAAGGATACCAAACCTATTTTCTTATTTAGGTAGAGTCAGTCTTATTTATCGACGGCATACGAAAGAAAATTTCAAAATTTTCATCAAAAACATTTTAGTATTATGACAAATGTAAAAAACAGAAGCAAGACACATTGAAGGTGCGAGAAATAGTGATTTTCTTTTCCTTTCTGTTTTATTTTCTTATTCATGTTACATACAATGTGTTGTTACATAAATAGGCACCCACTTAAAATGTGCCTTATCAGTTATCCCTATAAAAAAAGATTAATATGGCAGAGCCTGGTAACAAGCCTGCACATTGAGTTCCAGCAGGTAAAATTCTCACGAGCAGACCTGTGCAGGTCTGCAGGGAAGGTATGTGACAGTGTCTGCTGCGGGTCTTCCAGGGTCTGCCACGATGTTCCCTGCAGAATGCACGATGTTGCCCCCACGATGTTCGTGAGAATTTTGCAAAGTTGTTTCAGTCCCGGTTCCGGTCCCGCAAGGTTTTTATGGTCCGGGTCCTTAAAGCAATTCTGCTCACACGGAAATAACATTTTATTAATGCCGGAAAGTTCAAGAGTTTTCTAATCGACAATTATCTGTTATTTGTCCGTTAATGGATAACTATCCCATTCTGAGTGCGCTTGCTTGTGATCTTCTAATTATCCCTGCTACCAATACGACCATTGAGCGCCTCTTTTCGACCAGTAGAGCTGCCGTTACATCAAAACGAACTCGACTGAATACATCATAATTTTTCATTACATAATTTGATTGTATAAGTGTTAGTAATAGTTTATTAACAGCTACCCCTAGTCAAAGTACGCCTACTATGACTACGACTTTACTCATAATTCGCTCATAAGTACTCATATGAGTTCTACCAACAACTTCTGAATATTTTTATTCAGTCAGCACTCAGTTACTATGTGAGTATTCAGGAAATATTCATTCACCATTTTATTTTGCAAAAATGAAACTGTATAAAGAACGTATAATTCAGTAAAGAAACATGGAATATTTATATGATATTTTTCTCTCCGGTCTCTCTGTATACAGTCAGAGATGGACTTGTTCCTGAATACACTTGTAGTCCAACTCTGGATGCCTGAGATCACTCCTCTATATGACACTACCAGATAAACAATACTTATGAGTATTTTGCTAAAAGTTATATGCGTACTCAACAATACTCGAGCATGAGTACCCAAAATCATCCACACCGTACTCATTACTCATTCATGAGCACTCAATGATTAGTCAAAATGTATGAGTACGTATCAGTACTCGTCCGGTTTTTCTAGCAGAGTACATTTTGAGTACTCACGCATGAGTACAGTGCTGTAAAAAAAATTAATGTCTATTAATTTCTGTTTTTAAATTAATTTAAATTAATTTCTAATAACTAATTCATTCAAATTGATTTAGAAAACATTTGCTGAAATTAATTTCAAATCAAAGATTAATCTGAACGAATTTTTGTACCCAAATTAATGTAAATAATTACAAAAAAAATTAATGCGAATTAATTTCAAACCAAAATAGGTACTTATTTCGGTTCAGACATATTTTCAAGAATTTCTGAGAGTGCCATTGGATTCCTCGCAAAAAGTTGCTTCGGGAAACTTAGCCTCTAACTATATCAGATATACTATGGAGACTTTGAGCTTTTTCTTTTTTGAAAAAAAATATTGAAATCTTCACCAACTATTTGAACTAATTTAGTCTCAAATTAGTTTACATTAATTTTTAACCGAAAATCAATGTAAACTAATTCCCGTGTAAATTGATTTAAATTGGTTTAGATCTAAATTAGTTCCAACGTTTTTTTTTATTTAAAATTATTGTAAATTAATGCTTTTTCAAATCAATTTAAACCATTCTAAAATCACAAATTCGTTTAAATTAATGCGGTAGGAAATTAACAACGATAAAGTCTGCAAAAATGAATTCAGATTAATTTTAAGTTGAAAATTGTTTTGAATTAATTTCTATCAGATTAGTGCAAATCGATTTATTACTAAAGGAATTAAAGGAATTTGGAAAAACATTAATTCAAATTAGTGTAGAGTTTTCGAATTAATGTACACTAATTCGAAGCTCGAAATTCGTGTACATTAATTTAATATGAGACTTTGTATAATGCGGTAACGAGGGAAATTAATTTTTTCACGAAAAAAT